GAGAGTAGTCAGCCTGCCTTGCCTGTGCAGCCTTTTTAGCAAGAATTACAGAAAACATCCTAGGTGTCAAGGGGGCAAAAGAGGGAAAGGACTCTTTTGGAGACTTACAGAAGTGAACTGTGAAGTAAATCCCTCATGAGATCAGTCATCCCTGGGCAGTCCAAAGCCTTCTGTAACTTTGAGCTCCGTGGCAGTGTACCATGAAACTTTTCCCCTTCACACCAAAGCTTCCCTCCAAGCAAGGAGAAACATGGAGGGCGACATCCTCAGCAGCTGAGGTGTGCTCTTCTACTTAGTCTCTGCAGTTCTGGCCCCAGGTTTCTGCTGCAGCAGTGGTATACAAAAAGAGCGTAGTGGCTAAGACAGAAATGTGCCTGCGGCTTTGCCTGTTCTTGTCTTTGTAAAATGAATTTGGAGACTTCCAGTAGAGATGATAGCATGTTGTAGCCACAAAACCTGGCCTGAATGCGTGGATCATTATCAGTATAGACATTTAGCTATAATAGCATTGAAGAAAAGACATTATTTGTACTTGCAAAAGGAGTTACTGGCTGCATGTAAAGTTAGTATGTCTAATCAGTAACCACTGCTGTTTTCTGAAGGCCAAGGCAGATGATTTGGGTTGGGCTTCAATACAAGGTGTTGGGTATGTCTAGAAGTTTATATGACACCCAGGAGTATGTTAATGATGTGTCCAGTGTGAGTAGCTGGTCATGACACCTCTCAGCAGAGGTGTCTAACGTGGAGCTGCTGAGACATGTAAGGTAGAAGTTGAGAGTGGCAAATGATGTCAGCTGGTGAGAGAGGGCCAGAAGGAAAGAGAAAAAAAGAGGAAGACAAAGTTCTGAGGGATAGAAGGGGAAAATGGAGAATGGAAGATTCAACCCACTGAAAGGCAGCAGCACTTATCTCAGAGGTACTATTAACAACAAGAGCAGTGGGGAGCTGCGAAGGAAGAGAAGAGGCTCAGGATAGATCTGGTGGTGCTGAGGGCACCTGCGATGTAGAGGAGGCTAAGCATGAGATGTTCTTATTCAGCAGATATGGTGCAAACCAGACTGAAGTTGATCTTTGATGGAGATGAGAAATTCTTGGCAATGGTTGTTGGCTGCACATTCAGATGGGAGACAAAAAATATCAGGGAAGAAATGGGGCCATGCTTGAATTTCTGCATCCATTCCTAGCAGACAGCTATCCACACTGGTGCTAAATTCTTGGCAGTCTTATCACCGAGGCCATGGAGTAGGTAGATATATGGGCTACAAATGTCCCTCCTGTTTAGGGGACGGTAGTGTAGTGAAACCAGTGCAGCCTGTGCTCTGTTGCACCTAAATGAAGAGCGCTGTCAGTCCAGGAGCTCCCTGGAAGAAAAGATGGCATCTTTGGCGAGACCTTGTGGAAGTTGTTAAATTTTCTGGATTTTTTATTAAACTTGTTTGAAGATCTGCTCTTCCAGGCTCTGCAGTCTGTGTGGACTTCCCAAAGCTACTGAGCAGAGAAATGCCTGGAGAAAGAGCGAGCCCCAGAGCCAACATTTGCCACTGATTAAGAAAAGGACTGCACCAACATATGCCTATGAGGTTTTACCAAAACTCCTCTCCAAATGTGCATTGCTGATCACATGCAGGCAAGCTTACTTACACCGATTCTTTGGAGTTTGGAGCAGCGAATCTGCATCAAAATAAACATCCAATTTTGTGTGTTATTGCATAGGTATGAAAAAGTACATAAAAAGGGGTCATAAGAGTGGCAATGCAATGCAAATGCTGTACTACTATGTTTAAAAGAGAAAGGACATGTTATTAACAGAGAAAGTTAGACTGGGTGAGGCTATATGGCTTCAGCACGCTTCCCTGTGATACCTCTGGGTCTGAATCAGGCCCGTACTCAGATTTCCAACCATGAAAATGGTGGTTATTTAAAGAGCAGCAAATATTTTTTTTAGTATTAAAGATGTTTCAAATTTGTTATGTGTTTATTGTAATGAAAAATGATGTTATTAGTTCAGCTGGTTGAAATTTTTTATGTGGAACATTAATCTTCTGAAAAACGAGGCTCTGCAGAAACTGACTCAGGGTGTATGAAGGCAAATTATTATTTCTTGAAGAAAATGATATAGTAAGGAAAAAGGAAATATTTATTTTAAAAACCATCATATTTGTGTGAAAAATATCAGTAGTTTTCCAGCCAGCACATCTTGCAGTGCCTACAGTCTGTAAACTGGTGATTTATTTTGCCTAACTGAAGGTAAGGAGCCTTTTTCTGTTCTGTTCACGGGGGGATGGATTAGGCCCCAGAAGAGGCTGTCCGGCTACCATTATTTTTATACACTTACGATGTTTTCTGAGACACTGTTTCTGTAAAGTAAACTGGAAATCAAATTATGCCTCTTTCACTCAGTTTGTAAACAAACCTTTCTAGGGCTAGTTAGAGCTGCCAGATACCTTTTGTATATACGGCGTATGCTCAGAAGTTGTCTCTCAGTGCCAGGAGTCTGGCCACCCCGGTCCTGTGTCTCCTGGGACTGGAAGGACAATAAGAGTTCAGGCTTCTCCACCAAGGGGGAGATTTCTCTGCATCTGTGTAGCTTCATACAGCTTAACTTGCCTATATGGAATTTGTCTGGTCACCTACATGTATATTGATAAATTATACCCCTCTTTGGATTTAGAAATTAAAATGGAGCGTTCCCTTTTTTATAATGCAGTAGTTAATTAATTCTACTCATATGCATGTAAAGGATCGTTTCTTGGTGTGACACTGAAGCCTGCCACTCAAAATTAACACAGACTATGTACAATTGAAAAAAAAAGATTTTTGGATATATATTTTATTTGACAGTGGTTTAGAATATCATACAGTAAACAAGATTTCTGTAAAAGTTAATTTATCCATAGTGGTGCGTTTCATAAAAATAGTTGCTCACTTACAGCCTTTCTGTGACTATTAATACATGGAATTATATTTATAGAGATAGAGCTGTACAGGGTAAATTCACAGCTAACACTACACAGAAATATTATTTGGAATGGGGTTTAGATGATGTGCTGTCTTCACAGGTTATCGATTACAGCCGCATAAAGCAATTACTGCACAAGGAGTAGCTGTGAACTGTGCAAATTAGAGTTTATGCAAGCATAATCTCAACTGTTTTTCAGATTTCATTGTTTGCTTTCTTTATACATAAAAATAAGATACTGGGACGTGCATCTACACTACAGAAGCATTGTCCAAAATCAGATTCAATAAATTAATGGCAAATTATATTGGATTCTAGTTCAGGGGATAAAGATTTTTTTTTTTTTCATTAAATAAGAGTTTTATAAACAGCTACATGGACTTGTGCTTTTTTAGAAATTATAAATGGACTTTTCTTTCTAAAAAAAATTGTTTGAAAGCTGCAAAATCCTTGACTTGAGGCTTTTCAAATAATTGGACAGGAAGAAACATGCCTATAAATTTCTCAGTCCAGTGCAATGTTTGAGACATACAGTAATGTGCTGATTTCTTGGAACAAAGCCAATCTCAATCTAATTTTTCAGCAGAGCATGTGAGGAACTAAGATTGCTAGAGAACATTAGTTTTTAAATATGACTTTTCGACAGTACTTAGCTTTATGATTTGTTTTTTAATTACCAATGCATTATTGCCCAGGATTTTGTTTTAATTTTGACAGACAAGTAAGCATATGCACACTTACACAGACACACACGCATCTTTTTGAAACAAGATAATGACTGATTGACTGAACTCGGAGTTATTTCCTGTGAAGGCAGACTGGAATGTTTACCTGGCACTTAAGGCTTGAAATTCAAAACAGACAAGCAAGAAAGATAAAAACAAAAAAGACCAAAAAAAAAAAAAAATGGAGGTAGGGAAGAAATGATAAAATGGAAACCATTTTAAAAATGGAAATATATCAAATTTACTGAATGAGGACACTGACAACTGTATTTCAGAAATCAGTCTAATTATTGTTAACATGTGCACCTGCTCTGCCAAACTGAGGGGATGAAAGTTGAGAGTGTCCTAACTAAATGTAGATGGGTATGAAACATAGCACTGTTGATAAGTGAAGCTCTCGTTTTCTGCAGGAGGGAAAGGCCTTTCCTTAAGGAAACTGCAGCTTTTTCTCTGTAGCACTCTTCCTTTCATTGCAAGGGCCTTGCAGACATCTGGGTTTTGAGCCTGACCAATTGGTTTGTGTGCTACCTCGCAGAAAATCAGGAACCTGTAATAAATCGCTTTTGAGAATAATTTGCAAATACAACTCCACCCTAACTCCTTTCCAATGTACAGAAACATGGTTTGTTCACAAAAATGGCAGTAGAAATGGTATCACAGAAACTAATCCACTGGATTCCCCACACCTCCCGTAGCGCCCAGTGAACTGTGCTACAGGGTATCACGTGGACTATCCCAAAGTGTTAACAGTGGAGATGTGTCATGGGTGTACAGTTCCAAACGATGCTTCAAAGAAACCCTTTAACCCCTGTCTAGATATGTTGAGAACAATTTATTTACAACATTTTAGCTCCATGAAAAGATCCTCTCTCGGTTTCAGCTTGCTCCGTGCAGTTTTATTTAAGGCGATGTTCCAGTTTGTGATTGCTCTAACTTGTTCCAGTTTCTTGATATAAAGTTTGAATGAAATCCAAGTCCTTCATGCAGTGGGAAAAAAATGCTAAAGCTACACTGCACTATCCTTCTCTGATGTACTGTCCTTCATATTGTTTTGGTTTCTTCCATAGCTGCCAAAGTCCCTAAAATGGAACTGGGACTTTAGGGTCGATTTTAAATCTCCGTGTTGACTATATGCTTTTGAACTTATTAGATACTGTGCACATTGTCATGGAATTACACACTAATGTTTTCATTCCTCAATGCTTTGTGTATATGTGTGATAGTTAAAATAAATTAAAACAAACCAATGTGAGACAAAAACTAAGAAGAAATGTTCTGCGTCAGTTTGAGACAGTTAGAGGGCAACAGTCCCTTGCTTATCTGCTCATGGCAGAAGTACCAGACTTCAGGACGCTAGGTAGCTTATCTGAGCCAGGGATTTTCCACGGCCCTGGGGAGACCGTTGCCTTTCGAACTGTGGTGTTGGTGCTGTGAGTGCTAATGGAGTGGAGATGTCCCTTCCTGGGGAACTCGCTGGGTTTCCCGTCAGGGTCCCTCTGGCTGTGGTCCATATCAATTCCAGGCGAGCTGCAGCGGTTGCTACTGTACGTCTTGGTAGCACCTGTATCAAGCTTGACATGGTCGGATGCTGCAGCTGACTTCTTCTCACTGGTATTTTTGGATTTGTGATCTTCTTTTTTGCTAAGAGATCCTCCTCTCTTGCTTTCCGGCTTCCTCAGCCTCCCAAACTGTTCATCACTGGTTCCAGCACACACGTGCTCTCTCGCGCCAGCCTCGATCATTATGCTGTGTCCCACCACTTTGTTTTCTGAGGTGGGCCTGCCACCATCAGTGGTCTTATTTTTGCCTTCTGAATATCCTTTCCAAGAAGCCTCTTCATGCTTTGACCTGTCTACCTTTTTAGGACTTGCTGACCTTTCTCTTCGTTCTCCTAACCTTTTCTTTTTGTGACCATTCACTGAAAGCTCCTTTGGTTTCCTTACATCGTGTTCCCTCTTGATATCCCATGTTGACTCTGGGTTTATCTGGTGAGAAGGGTCAGAGGGTGGGGCTATGTGTGATGAAGATAATGGTGAGATTATCGTCGAGGTAAAGAGCTACTTCCGGCAGACCTGGGGAGGTGTCAGAGGGAGCACTCCAGGAGTTTGGTTCGTCTGTTGTAACAACAAAGAGAAGGGAGTTAAGGGCGTATTCAGCAGCACAGAGCGTGTATTGCATAGACATATATATTCTGAGCAACATCGACACCAAAACCACATACCAGACTTAAACTCCTCTGTCTTAGGTGAGGCGAAACTCCCAGGGGAGTCAATGGGGAGGAAAACAAAAATAATCTCCAACCACAGGGCTGGTAACTGCAATGCTGGAAACCCCGGTCTTTTTTTCATACAGATTCTGCTTTCCTCTGCCTATGTTAAATTATTCTTAAAATAATAAAGGCATGTGCTCGTGAAATCAGATTGCCTCTTTTGTAGCTGTATAATGGATTTCTTAGCTGGGCAATATCAGTGCTGTCTCTGAGGACAAATGAGAAGGACTTTCTGCCATCTATTAAGCATGTCCCCATAAGCATATAATAATTGACAAGAATTTGTAGCTCAAATAAGGTCATCATTGAATTCTGTCTCATATTTTTTCTAAACAGATATAATATTGCAGTGTTTATGGCCCCACAATTCTTACAGGGTACTTACAAAGCTCTGCCTTTATATCACAGCATCAGCCGCTGAGTCTGTTGGCTGTGCATTTTGAATTTCTCCTTGTTACTTAGCCTCAACACAGTATGGTTGGATTGTGCAGATTCTGTTTAATTTAGCTAAACAGACATCTCCTTTGCTGAATCATGATGATTTTCCTAATCCATTGGTGCAAAACAGAATATTCTGAGATGCCTTTCTCTTGCATACATGATTTCTTTTGATTAACATTCTGGCAGACAATGAATCCATCATGACTAATGACAGCATGACTCTTATTCTTACCCGTCTACATAGAGGTTAGAGAAATCACTGAACTTGGCTAATGTCATTCCCTATTTAGCACCATTGCCTGGCTCTGAATGGTATGAGCAATAATCTGTCAGAGATGAAGGACTATCTCAGGGATCCATGGAAACGAGATGGAACTCATGGCAAGAGCTGCATATTTCATGGGGGGAGAAAATGTAACCTTCTAGCTGAAAAACAAGCATGGACTTCTACAGGTCAGGACTAGTATCTCTCAGTGATGTCAACTGTCCTTTAAAAGATACATTTATTTTTCTCAGTGCTACGGCTGCCTTCAAATTGTCGTGAAGATGCACATCATCTCGAAAACTGGAATGGGTTTTACTGCCCAGACTGGGATCTGCAGCTTGCTTGACTGGGATGGTACTTTTAAGTTAATAGCTTGATTGAGTGATTGCTGTCTTGCAGATAAAAATAGGAGAGACAATAGTGAGGTGGGTGATGTAAAAGGAGGGAGCAGCGCGGTTAGCTGAGGAGTTATTTATTTTCCCAGATGGTGTTTGTCATATGCTTTTGCATAATGAGCATATGTGTGGAGAGGCTTAGCATTTGAGAGGGGAGAAAGTACAAGTTCTGTGTAAGACAAATAAACTTTGAGCTGGGAATCTAAATGGGCTGAGGGTCTCAACTGATTTTTTTTTTTTTTTAAAATCACACTTTCTTACCCTCCAGTTAAGGCTGAGTAATGTACCATCTGCTCCCTGCTTGGCACTTGAGCGAGAAAAAAATGAAAAGAAGACTCGTGCATGTAGAGTGATCAGCTCTTAGGAGCTTGCCTACAAAAAACATCTGCTTCGATGGGCTGCTTCTTTACTTCTGCTCTTCAGTGCCGCCCCCCTGGTACAGGACCATGGGCTGTGCCTGATGGGGGAGGCGCAGACCCCACCCCAGCTCTTTTTAGATCTGAAATCCAGGGGATCCCATTTTGGTTGACATTTGAATTAGGGACCATGCATGGGGTCCAAGACACTTTGCCTGGTTCTCTAGAACTATCCCAGGACTCTGCTGAGCAGCATGAAGCTGCCTGTGTCCACCAGTGAAGTACCTGAGCTAGCACTAAACAAGCCACCTTGGGCCTTACAAAATTAAGTTTGTGCTTTTCATGGCATTGTCACATCTCCCCAGGGTTGAGGTGGTGCTGAGCGTTGGCCTGACCAACGTATTTGACTTAACTACAGTCTTCTTTCCCAGTTGTCCACGAGATGATGTTTTTCACTGAGTGGCAGTGAAGAGCAGTGGGCCATTACCAGATCTTGTGCAAGGCTCTGGGAGCATCTGACGTTACAGAAATAGCTTGTTACTTTGGGAAGTATGAGCTGCACACCAGTAAAAACATCAAATGGCCTGGAGAAATAAGATGCTTTCGGGTAACAAGATTGCCTCTGTGCAAAATGTGCCACTATGCTTAAATCAGCTGTTTCTTGCCCAGAACAAGCCAGGTGGCCACCATTCAAAACCAGGGTGGCAAACACCTCTCGTGGTTCTTCTGAGGCACGAAAGGCAATATTATACCAGTTATTTGTGGGATACTCAGGGGAGGAGACCTGTGGGTGAGTGGCCTGCTGTTTTATTCCCTAGAGACGAGAGAACTGCTTTATTAAGGGACTGTCCCACTAGACAATTTTCATTTTTTTTCTATTTTCTTTTTTGGAGGGGAGGGAAAAAACACTGAATGTTGCAGTGAGAAATAGTGGGTTAGAACCTACTTCAACAAAAGTGAATCAACGTATTTGTTACATGTAATGTTATATAAATCTAGATATCTATAAACTAGGACATGCAATATTATATGCATTGCTGGATTTCTGCCTCTCCCCCAGAAAACCCTAGGAAAAAGACAACTTGGCCAACTAAGCAAGAAGACTTGTAGCCACAGCTTAAAGGGACGTTGGGCTGTGGGAGAACCCCAGGTGGGCCACTGGCTCCAGTTTGTTTAAAATACTGTGCCTGGCCTTCTTGCTGGGGAGCACCTATATAGGCTGTATTTCCAGTGGCTGGGGGAAAAAAGTTGCCATGAAATAAAACTATCGTTCATATTCTGTGGCAATCTAGTACTTGCAAGTAAGAACTTGACAAAATGACTTTCTATAAGGTTTAAGTACCATCAATCTGAGACAGCCAAACCCCAACCTAACCTGCTTTTTCTTTCAAATGAAATGAAATTATGCAGAAAGTCATCCTCAGCCTTGGTAGATGTTAATGTCAACAAGCTATTGTTGCAATATGTCACTGGCTAGTGAGGAGAATACTGATGTGAGGGTATTCTAACTGACTTTCCTCTGATGTTTGAACATTATGGGAAAATATCGAAATGACTAGAGTAGGGCAAAGTACAATAATGTAAGCAATTTGTTGCTCAAAAGAAAAATCTTTTAAAGAGCTGTGTTCAAGCCATAAGGGTTCATTTGGACTTGTTCAACCAGCACTAAAATGAATGCTTTTCCATAACAAATATAAACAGGAGAAAAATGCAAAATTTTATTCTGTAGAGCAACTAAACTAATGATTTCTCTTTATGACAATTCTGAGGTTATAGCTGCACTTTGGAGAGATTTATTAATATTTCTGAATAAATATTTTTTTCTGTAGTTTTTAAGGTTTATATAAAACCTATGTGTTAAGTGTGAACATAACCTACTTTTACTGTCTGTTATTCCAAAATATCTCAAAACATTTTGCAAACCTACTAAATCAGAGACAGAGCAATGATTTTACTTTTTTCTCCCTTCACCTCTGAGAGGAACTGAAGACAGTATTTGTTTGATAGAGCAGGAACTACTAATGCCCAAACAACTTACAAGCAGAAGTGAAGGATATTGCATTCGGTTGAAACTCCTGGAGAGATTTAGGGATGATGTAGTTTCAAATTTGTTGCTGACTTTGTCACTATGGATATCATCCTTACTGTGGGAGAAATTGCTTTTCAAAGGTATACATCTCACTGAAGGCTAATAGATGCCTTCCTCCCTTCTCTGAAGGGAGAAAATCTCCCTTGACCTACTAATTTAGACAAGATAAATGAGCTGGAAGCAGCACTATAATCTGTCACTGTGATGGTATTTGATTTGGTATAATTTAGTAGGTGTTTTCTGTGTGGCTTTTAGTTTCCACAGGCTACTGTCATGAGGTTGGCGGCAGTTCTCCATGGAATGTGTAAGAATGACTCACCTATGACCTGTTTCGCATAACTCCCAGGCAAGGAGTAAATTGCTAACTGAGTAAGAGACACCACAAACACAAAACTTGAGTGTGTAGGAGGACAAGTAGGAGATGAACACAGCCATTTTGGAGGAAGAGTGACAAGGGGAAAACATCAGGAGCAGAAGTTTTCTTTCTAGAGGCTTTTTTGTTGGAGGTAGAACTGCCATATACATGAATTGTTTGCTTTGCTACATCAGCTTACACACGTTCAATGGAGTGGAAATGAGGGTACTACTCTCACGTATCTACTTGCTCCTCTCTTAACTAAAGCCTAGTCTTCTACCTGGATCCAGTGCTTGCTGATGGCTTACATCTGAATCACTAGCAAAAGAAACCTGGCTTTACTGCTAATGGAGTAGAGAGGTGTGCCTGTCTTACTTTCTGAGCGTTGCCTGGGTACTAAGTCAGAGGAAAGAAGCTCAGCCTACTGATGAGTTTATTTAATTTCCTGCAATATTTATGGTTTTTTACAGGTTGCCCTTCTAAGATTCTGTCAGGTCTAGTCTTGCTGTGCTTATCTGCTCTGCCAAGATCTCAGGTCAAGAAAGATTAGACCTCGGATTTGTTACTAGTTCTCCTTTTGCATCAAAATACTTTAAATAATTGCTCGATAGTTTATCAAGAATGTGGGATTTTTCATCAGATAAAATAAATAATAAAATAGTAATATTAATTTATTTTATATTTAATGGTAATGTTAAGAGTAAAAATGACATCACATTTTATTACTTAAGTACAATAAATTCTCAATGCCTTTTTAATTTCCAAATTTTTTGAATAATGAACAGTACATTAAAGCTTTGAATGCTTTCAGTGGTCTGAATGAAATATTTCCTGAAATGTCTAAGCAGCTGTTTTCGTATCTTCCCAGAATTATTTTCCTAGGGAATCAAAGAGTTTTTGATTAAATAAAAAATATGGTGCTTTGTTTTTTTCCCCCACTTTTT